GGTGTTCGGGAGGTCATGGGTTCGATTCCTGTCGGGGACTCAGAATTTTTCTTTGTCCCACGCTCGTGTCATGTTGATTAATTCACCTTCACATTTCAAATATCCTGATTCTTTAATTTGCTTTTATTGCGTCCAATACGCGTTTTCGTAAAGTACGATTTGATACTGTGGTACGAAGCCCGAGCAAACGCTCTTAAAGCGTCTATTTTTAATTTACAAACGAAATTTCATGTCTATGTAAGGGACGTTGCTTGAAAAGCAAAAGCAGCAGTTAATCGACATTCAATAGGATCCATGCCGTTTAAGAGGAGCAATACCTCCGAGTTAATATCTAACTCATTAAAAAGACTACATTTGTCTATTATTTCATCGAAGAATTTTAAACGTAACCTATTATATTACTGGCATGAGAAAAGAAAGTGTATTTCATTTTCAACCTCATTTGAAAGGCAGAAAGAGCAGATTCTCAAATTTATGGGAGTCTTCGGTATTGTGTGTCTACCTCCTTCAATACGTAATTTATGATTCCCTGAACGAAATTTATTAATAGCAATTCTGTGATGTAGATTTTTTATCACATCGAGGGAACTAGATTTTTTGGTATCTTTTCTAAAAGAAGCGTAAAAGTTTAATTTTCTGCTTCTGTCAATTAATTTTACCAATTAATCAATTTGTATTCCCAATGGGGTTTAAATAACGATTGCTTTGATTAGCAATTTCTGGTAGTTGCAGTCAAATAACGCCATCATGCAAATCGCCTATTTGAGAATTTAGATGTTTCGATTTTTTGCATTTAATCAATTTATTGAAGGTTTTTCGAGTCGTATGTTGATCATGTCTGAGATTAACATCGTGAGGATTTCGATCTTCTTTTAGTTAGAGAGTACAATGAGATTTTTTCGCAGAAAAGAAGTCTTTATCAAACTTGCATATCAAACGTTTTAAAATTTTAAATAGTTGAAAAAAATCAATTTTTCTTCAACTTATTTTAATTAAGTTCAATCTTTAGCCTAAGCCCTTTTAAGCCCTTTCGCATTTTGGCGGTATTCGAAATGTTGTAGATGAGTTGAAGGCCTTTTCATGGAAGACTTCGCTTCAATTCCTTATATCCTGCCAACCGTTTAAAAGGATTAGTTTTAGTTTTCCCTAACATTTTCGTAAGCTCCGTTTGTCATTAGTCAAGTTTAAGTTGAGGAAGTTTGGTAAACGGACTTTCAAGAATATTGTGCAAGCAGATCCCTATATTTCCTTCATTATTGACAAACTTCTGTATTAGGCTTTTTCAGAATTTCGGCAGTTTTGCTTCATACGTCTCAGAATTGATGAGAAAAATAGACATAGGAACTCCAGCTAAAAAATTGATGCGTGTTTTTCACGGCCGGTAATGATAAATTACGTCACAACATTGTCAAAGTAGATGTGGATCCACGAGGCGAAGCCAAGTGAATCAACTGTCTGTCAATGAATGATAGTTATGGTAAAGGAAAATGAAATTTCGGCTCAGATCAAAGTTGGCCATTTAACTATTAGAAACTTTTTAAGGAATTTTAGGTGTTTTTTATTACGATTGCATGCAGCCCAGTTAGTTTAGTATTACAAAAGTCCAAAATATATAATAGCAATAAACAAAGCCATAATTCCAGGGTGACGAGATTTCAACGATCTTTTAAGAGAATCTTTACATCGTGTCCTCGAAGAGAACATGAAAGTTTAATTTAGGACGACGTATATACTATGTTTCTGTTCAGTTTAAACTTAATCTCCAGACAAACAATTAAACATTTCTAGTACTCACAGTCAGTGCAAGCAGACAAGCGCTCATCTTTGCTCAACTCTTGCGATAAGCGTGTTTCCTTACTCGATCCTGTAAGCTCTTCAAAGTTTTTTATATTCTTTGATACACTTAATTAATCAACTCGCGTTATATACCCTTTGCTAGACAGTAAGACGACCTTTCAAGGTAAAAAATATGCGCTTAATATTGTCTTCCACGTCATAAAGATATAGATTCAGCTGCTAGGTCAGCTGCTTAACAACAGCTGTCATTAGTACGGTTTGCACATAAATCAATTAAATCAATTTATTGTCTGTAAATTTTCATTTCTTTAATTTCTTTCATAGTTCTAGAATTTTTTGAAAAATACAAACAAACAAGTGGAGCTACACTCACACTCAATGTGATATTTATAACAGAAACAAATATTACGATACATAAACACTCTACTGACATATAATATTGCTGCTGAGTGTTCCAAAATGACCAAGGGGTTCAGACGTTCCTCTCGATCCGTGATGCTCTGGAATTCCTCACTCAAGCCAATAATTTAAACGACTATCCACTAATGGCTGTCTATGGGCTATCTTTAAAACGGGGAACGGGGAATCGGGGAATCGGGGAATGGGAATGGGGAATGGGGAATGGGGAACGGGGAACGGGGAATCTTTAAAATG